TGTTAGGAGACAAGAGGAAGGTAGAATATAAATTTTTGGAGAGTATTATTTGAGGGCATCAAAGGTGAGTTTAAAAATTATAAAATCTGCTTACAATTGTCATCTAAAATGGACTTTACTTAGTTGTGGTAAATTATGATTTATAATTAGAAGTATTAAAGGTGAGTGTATATATATATATACACACATTTTTGAACTAAATCAAGTCCACTCCAACATGAAAATTTTCAGGAATCTTATTTTGCTTAGCTTGGCTTAGATGATCTGTGCTTAACTTTGTGGTTTTCTCTATTGTTTAAGTATACTTTTGCATTGGTTTGACTTTGCTTTATTAATGTGAACTTGGTTTTGCTTTGCTTTATTTTATTTATAAATTTATTTTTTGTTGTTGCAATATTTCCCTTATCAATCCAAGATCTTTTCTTTACTTTGCTCTATTGTTAAAGTTTTCTTCATAGTTGAGTTGCATTTGTTTAATTGATCTAATCTATAATAAATACACTATTCTACTTTTGAGGTTTTTCCTACTACTAGTCCAATACTAGTTGAATAATCCAAGTTCTATTTCGGTCCAATATTTTTGCCTTTGATAATAGAAATTTATTATTGAAAAAAATAAATAGAACAATTGATCTATGTTGACATTCATAGGATGTCACATTTTTTTGTTCAAATTTGGCATGCATTAATACCAAAAAAAAGATTTCAATGTCAAGTTATTTCAATAAAGAAGATAATAACATAGTGGAGTAGATTAACTTCTTGCTAATTGTATTAATACTACTTATTTTAAAATTGATTTTTAGATCTTTATTTTAACTTACTTTAATTAAATTTGTTTTAATTTAAGAAAAGTAAGGTTAAACGGTTGTGAATACAAATACTTTGGTTCTTTAGTCTTTGGATTTTTGCAATGATTGAAAAATATGCAAACATTATATGGTCTAGTGGCAAAGAGATTAGTAGTAAAATTAATGTATTTTTTTTATGTGTTTGTTGATTTTTTTAATTGGTGTATTTTTTTTTGCATATGACAATCACAAGTTTGATATATTTTTCAAATAATCAGTAAAGTAAAATTGGAAAATACAAAAAATTGATTAAATTACTAAACTTGATACATATATATATATATATATATATATATATGCATAAAAGCTGCTTTATTTTTATAGTTATTTCATATTAAATATATTATTGCAATTCTCTAAAGTAGTTTCTGTAAATGTAAAAAAAATAGTTTTTTTTTTTTTTTTTTTTTTATTTTTTTAATTACTTTCTTTGCATATCTAAATAGTATAAGATGCTTCAAATTTTAATATTTAAAATTCTCTCTCTCTCTCTCTCTCTCTCTCTCTCTCTCTCTATATATATATATATATATATATATATATATATATATATTATATTATTTATAAAATTCAAAAGATATTTTTTTATTATATGATTAGAATCATATATAGAAGTCTTAAATATTTTTATCTTATATTTTTATTCTTAATATATATATATATATATATATATATATATACATACATACATATGCTAGAATTGTGCACTAAAATGTTTTTGCAAAAAAAAAATTAAAAAGAGGAAAACTTTCTTTTTAAATATTAAAATTAAAAGAAAAATAATAGAAGTGTTGTCTTTTTGACTTTTATGTTCCAAAAAAATACAACCAACATTGCATATTCTTATAATGACATGACCATTGTTTACTATGTCTTTAAATTATTGCAATCTTATTTTTTTAATAAATTATTCTTTATATATTTATTTGTAAAATTTTAATATCATTAATAAAAAATTCTAAGCAATAAAATTATAAATTACTTTATTATCATATCTTCAATTATTCTTTTAAAAAATAGCATGTAGCCAAAAGATTCAAAGTATTCTCTATCTAGTTAGCAAAATACTTATATTTAATAGCAGTTATTTATAATGTATTATCTATCTATATACTTATATATCTTTTTATCTTAAAAAGAAATTGGATAATTTGTACTGACTACTTCAAATGTTATTAAAGTCACACCTCCAAATCATATGATGATGAATTTTAGAAGACATGGAACACAAGATGGAAATAAGGAAGAGGAGATAAAGACTAGGAATGGGGATGAGGGACATGGAACAATAGATGAAGATGAAGATGAAGATGACAGACATGGAACAATGGATGAAGATGAGAGACATGAAATAATACATAGAAATGGAGATGAAGGACATGGAATAATAGACAGAGATGGAAATGATGGATATGAACAATGGACAAAGATGAGAGACATGGAACAATGAACAAAGACAAGGATGGAGAAAATTGATTATGAGATAGTAGTGTGGGATGTAGCTTTAACAACATTGAGATGTGGATTTAATAACATTGGAATGTAGTTTTAATAACTATAACTATAACTATATATATATATATATATATTACTAATTTTTTTAATATAATAGATTTAAATTGAATATATTAGATAGAACCTGTTAAAATTTAAAAATAATTTTTAGTCTTATCAATAATCTACATAAATATTCCTATTTGTACTTCTATTTCTTCTTCTATACAATATTCATGTATCGTTAGATAATATTCAATGAATAGAAGAATTTTAATTGATAAATATTATTTTTTAAATTTCAAAAGCATATCTATCTATGACTAATTATACATCTATTATTGTTCAATATGTCAATGGTTTAAACAATCAAAATTCAATGAATTTACAAAATTATTATTTTTATTGGTAAATATAATAGAAAACTTACAAAAGAATAACTTATTTTTTAAATTAAATAGCAAAAAATACAATAAAACACATCAACTAAAAAAAATATATATTACATATAAAATTTTAGCATCAAGAAATTAAAAGACAAAATCTTAAACTTTAACTAAAACTAAAAAGATTGTTAAAGACCTCAATAGAGTTTATTTGAATATGAATAATAAAATAAAAATAAAAATAAAAAACAAAACAAAAAATTACAATACCTGCGAAAATCTAAAAATAAATAAAGAAATAAAGAAATACTATAAAATCTTCCACTGATGTTATAACACCAATAATTAAATCATATAAAAAAATAGTAATCTTAGATTAATATTATAAATTTATATTATTAAAATTAAAAAAATATATTTTGTTAATTTTAAAATCTTTAAAATATCACTAAATAAAATATGATAATGACACACATTTTAGAAAACTACAATTCAAACGCACAATCTGAATCTTAATTACAAAAAATTTATTAAAAAATTATATAATATTTATTAATTTATATTATTTATAGTATTAAAAAATTATTTAAAATTTTGAATTTTAAGATAAATAAAAATATAACACCATATTTTTAGGATAATTATACTATTATTTTATTTATTGTAGTAATTTGTAATAGTCATGTAGATAAGTAATATAAACATTATAACATAATATTATTTTATACACAAAACTAAAATAAAATATGACCTCTTTAAACTTCAAATTGATTGTACAAGTAATGTGACTTTTCTTAATTCTCTTTAAATTATTTTTATAGAAATATATTATAATTTAGTCCGTATTTGTCACTACCCTCCATTTATCTAATTATTTTAATATTATTAAAATAATTCAATAGACATTATCTCCTATTAATTCGAGGATTATAAAGAAACTATCTCTAAATTGGTACTTGAGAAAGATGGATATCTATAACAAATTTCCTTCGAAATCAAAAATTTGGATTTACTTGCTTACTTTGATAGTCTAAGAATAATAAAAGAGATGAGTTCAAGTGTAGCCTAAAATAATTAAAAGGTAATAAATCTAAGCAAAGATACTTAGGTTCCAAATAATAAGTTAGAAATACAAAACAATTTATTTATCAATAATCTCAATTATTGTTTAATGCTTAGGTTTGAATCCAAAATTTTGTTTGTATAAAGATTTGATCTTTCTATCCAAACCATTATATTTGATATTTACTATTCATAAAGAAATTTAAAATTAAATACTTAGAGAAGAGTTCTACTTCCAATTATTATCTTTCAAAATTGAAAATAGAGGGTGGGTGTACAATTCTAAATGTAAATCCAATTGTAAATAAGAATCTAGGGTAAGAATCTTTTGCACTTCTTTAAGTGCTCCACAAACTTCATCCAATAATTTTTTATTTAATAAAAAATTTAGCAGCCAAGATCAACAATTAGATCAGCAACAAAAAAACTCTTGCAGTTGTGGATTCATTTTAGTTTGTCAAAGCACAAGGGCATCAAAAAAATTCCAAATCACAATTCTATCATCTCCCCATGCATCGTTTCTCCAAACATTGTTTCCTCCCCCATTCTTCACGTCTACAATGTGTTGTTGGAAAGTAAAGGCAATTTTTGTCGTTCAAGATGAGAATGAACAGCATGTTAGATCGCAAATGATGCTTTTCAGGGGATTTGAGCTTCGGGTTGTTCCACATCCTTCGCCGGTCATGGCAAGAGGCCAAAAGGTAGAAAATGTGCAGATGAGACGAATTTAGAGTCGGACCCACGTTCACATCAGGTGGGATAATCTTCGGGAAGTGTATACAAATCACAGAGTTTGTACTTTGTTTTATACTGACAGTTTTTTATTGATTGCAACATAGATTCTTCCTCAAGTCTAGAGATGTGAGCCATTACGCGTTGTTACAAATTAAGAACGGATTTCAATTATTGTAGGGGATCATCGACGCCGCAAGATAATTTTATCGATCGTAAAATACTGTAGGGGACAGGGTTTACCGGAGCAGGGAACTCTCAAGTCAAAGCTGCAGTAGTGTACCATGTGTCCGCTGTTTGGAAGAATAAGAAAAAAATAAAAGAGAAAAGGTAGTTTTGTAACACACATTCATTAAAATAACACATGCACCAAGACAAACATATCGAGGTTCTAAAGATAGGTGATCCAATGAAGGCGCATTTGCCGTATGCGCCATCCGTAAGCTTATCGCATTCTTTGGAGGTAGTGTACATTCTAGAGCCCCTCTAGGCTACTTCCCACTCATCCGCGGACATAGCGTCTAACCTGCTCCGCCATCTTTTCCTCAACTAGCTCTTGAATCCCTTGTACCCATTTAATATAACTAGGGTGCTTCGCTTCATTGCCACCAGAGCTGGCGAAACTACGTGCTCTTTGTGGGTCTTTTGAGGCTGTTGATACTGGTGACTTGAAAGCATTAAAGAGATCGTAGTGAGGGATCGATCAGTTTATTTCGATTGTTGCAATTGAGACAAGTTTGATATACTTGAAGGCAGCCGTCGATCTTGCACGCCAGCTGAGCCATCTGCTGTTGTTGCTGCTGTCAAGTTCTTTTTTAGGAGCATACTTCCTTGTGAGATAGATAACAGATTTTCTACGGGTTGTAGTGAAGAGGTTTGGCAGTGTGATTTTTAGTTTCTGGATTGAAGCAGATATCAAGAATGGGTAGCCGGCTGAGAGAGGTATGATTTCAACTGGTTTGAGGTCTTAATATCATTTCTAGACATAATCGGGTACGTGCACCGCCAGTGTAAACCTTGAGGACCTTTGTGTAATTCTGCATCCGGCTTACAAAGAGATCGCATCAATATTGGTTTCCTTACGAGGAGCACGTTGACACAAATTAGTTTACGTTGGCAGGAGTTTCCTGTACTTCCGATGAATGATTCCACATTTCTTTCGGTGAAGATGAGCGTTGTTTAGATCTGCGTTGTTTCTTATTAGGCCTTTCTCAATATCTGTCAGTTACTGCAATAGCGCATCTGAATTTGTAGTAGACGAGATATCTTTTCTCCGCTTGATAGTTTAGGGGATGTGTGTGTGTCGTTTGAGCGCGCACACGCGCACTCTTGCCTTCTAATTTTTAGATCTTGACTTCTGTCCTTCCAGCTAAACACACACCTGAAACGTGGGTCGCACGTTTTAGGACTGCAGCAAGTATGTCGCGGTTGCAAAGTCAATGCTGGGGATGTTGGAATATGTCGAAATCACGCTGTAGTTCTATATTTGCAAACGTCATTGGAATCTCGTGTCTAAGTGCTGTGTTTTTTTTTTTTTTTTTTTTTTTTTTTTTTAATTCCTGCTTATGGGTGATTGTTCCCGTATATAGGTGCTCTATGGCGAACCTGTGTATCGCACGAGGTTCTATCAGCAAAGCCGGGCCCCTTATTCCTGGAGCCACTCAGTGTACCCAGAGCGATCTCGCGGCTCCCTGCCTGTGCTGGAGCTCAAGGTCCCTATGTGCTGCGAAAAATGCCAAGAGAAGGTGAAAGAGGAGTTGGAGGAGCTGGAGGGCGTTCAAGACGTTATCTGCGACCAACTCAGTCATCGAGTGACAGTCATCGGTTTCGTCGACCCTCTCAAAGCTCTCAAGAAAGTGAAGAAGGTGAAGAAGAAATCGGAGATTTTCACCGAAGGCACCTACATCGAGAGCATCCATTCCGGCCGCTCAGGTTACGACGACGAGTTTGAAATCGACCGCGACACTCGGTACATCAACAGCCGCATGGTCCACAACCATCGCTTCGGACGTGACTTAACCCGTTCCAACTCCTTCGGTCGCGGTTTGGGCAGGTTGGCATCCTTCGGTCGGGTTACTCCATACTACAACCCATACGACGACTTCGAGTACAGGGGTCGTCGGGGGGATTTCTTCGGCATCCGCCGCATGCCTTCATTCAACCGACACCGTCACCACGACGCTGAGTACATCTCCATGGACAGCCAGTACGCACCTCTCTACGGCGACACACAATACACATCAAGTTACAGTGAACGACCCATATATCGATCGCAACGATCATTCTCCAACATTCCGGTGACGAACCCTTACTACATCAAGCACATCGAGTCTGAGTATTATTAAGTGGATCGACTTCGGCGTCTGAACGACATCATTGACAGCCTAGTAGAGAGAGTTGCTGCAGTTCAGCTAATCGATATTGACGATGACGGATGAGATAAGGAATTTTGAGTGCACAGGCACCACACTGAAGCTCTACCAAGTGAGTGGAAAATTTTGGCTCTAGGTTTAGGACACTGATAAAAAAAAAAATTAAAAATAAATAAATAAAGGGGGGGGGGGTTGCTTTGGCCGGCTTGCAGTTGTTCATACGATTCGGAATTTGTTTATAATTAAAGTATTAATTGTCCATACACTGTGTCTTTGATATTATCTACTGTGTATGATTAGGGCTAATAGAGCTTTGACCCCAGCTGTGAAGCTTCTGTGCCAGCAAGGTTTCATGAATTGAAGCATGAATGATTTGGGTTGAAGCATTGCTTGTGACTAGTTGTGGATCCTCAACCTGTTTTGGGTTCCTCTCCACGTCTTTGCTTTCAATTTAGACGAGGTGAGCGGTGTTGTTGATCAGCTGTCAGTCGAAGTACAAATAATACTGATATTTTGATTTCCTGGAACCTTTTGACACAACGACAATAAAACTAGATTTAAATCATCAAATGGAAACAAGAATATATTTGGGAAACTTCTGAGTCACGAGAAATAAATTTAAACAATTGCTTTCTGTTTCCGACAAATATTTTGAATTAATCTGTACATAGTAGGCATAGTTTGCAGATATGTATACTGACATAGTTAAAGAATATATATATATATATATATATATATATATAAATATACAATATATTTATTTATTTATTTTTACAAGATGTTTATATATTGATATTAAGATAAAAAAAACTATCAAATTTTTGTAGCAGAAAAGAATAAAACAGAAATGTTAATAATTTTTTTTAATAAATCATAAATGCACATAGATTTAATTTTACTATAAAAACTCATTATACTAATTTTGTACATAACTTATAATAAAAAAAAATTAACAACTATATATAATATCGTCTTGTTAATTAATATTATTTTTTGCAAAGAAGAAGTATCAATTATCAAAGGATACTAATCATTAGAACTTGAGGGTTCAAGGAAAAAAAAAAAATCATCTTTACTAGGGCCTTACAATCTAGGTTACTCACTATTGCCTTGGCAGCCACATAATCTTACTTCACCCCATCACATGTAGTCACATAGCCTTGCATTGCTCAATTATGTATAGCCATGTGGCATTTGTCAATTATATCTATTAATAAATAAAAATAAATGAAACTATATCAATTATTTAAAATCAAATTTTATTGATTATATACCATAGAGAAAAGTTGGTTTTCAAAATTTTGATTAATTATTGGGAGTCATTATTATTTTAAGAAATACATTATATATATATATATATATATATATATATACATATGTATTTTAAAAAGAATAAAATTATAATATTTTTATAAAATAATATATATTTGAATTTAACAATATATATATATATATATATATGTGTGTGTATTATAAAATTTAGTAAGTATTTTTTTTTAAATTGACTTAGAAATTCTTTGAAAGTATCTTTAAGACAAAGTTTTCTCAAAAAAATAAATACTCGAGTTCTACAGTCAAGTTGAGGTTGAATAACAAGATTGTGGAACTTTGTTGTGTAAGATCAAGGACATAGTGATAATTGAATTAAGTTTGTAAAGCCACAATACAATAAAAATAAAAGTTACACAAATATTAGTAGTGATAGATATAAATAAAGTAATAATAAAAAATTATAAAAAGTAAGATACATTAGCACTAATGTTTTATCTTACATAAGAAATATATATTTTGTTGTTGGCAAGAATAAATTCCATAGATAATTTTGATTTATTTCTAAGTTAAATTTTAATATATATATATATATATAATTATTTAGAATTGGATAAAAAGAATAATATTACCTTACTAAAAAATAATTTATACTCAAAAGGCAAGGTTAAAGGCAATAATTATTAAATATTTTGATTGATTATAATTGAAAATCTTCATTAAGTTAGTTTTATATTTAAAAATATAAGTTCAAATATCCTAAAAAGAAAAAGATGATGTAGAATGCATTTATATTCTTAAATAGCATTAATAGTGTTGTATCTCAGAATTTCTATTGAATTTAATTTAAAAATATGGTTTTTAGAATTAAAAATAAATAGTTAAATAAATAATAAAATGTCATTACTTCTTTTTACTTTAGACTACATCTAAATGCCAAGGCTAGTAAAAAATGACATTTCTTTACTAAGCATGAAACCTTAATAAGGTTTTTGAACCATGGCCTTTTAAAGTGTGCTTCTAGGTATGAAGTTCTCTTGATTATAAAACAAATTTAGAATCAGGATAATATTGAAGTTAATATTTATATATATATATATATATATATATATTTATTCTTAATTCATTAATTTTCTTAAATTACAATATATATGGATGTACATATTCTTTCTTATAAGATGAAGAATAAAGTATGTCAAATAAGTTTAATATGACAAGTATTTTTAACTTAGAAAAGCACCAATGTGGCTTCAACAAACTACGTATTACTTACATTGTTTCGAACTATTTTATTTACTATTATATTTTTCTACTATTTAATACTATATTTTATAAATATATATATATATATATATATATATATATATATATATATTTCCTCATTTGATTAAGAGTATAAGAGGTTCCAATAGATGAAGATATTGTAATATATATATATATATATATATATATATATATATGTGTGTGTGTATGTATATATATATATATATATATATATATATGTATGTGTGTAAGTATAGATATAGATATATATATATATATATATATATATATAGCACAAAGTTATTACAATTTTTATAGAATATAAACTTATATAATATAAACACAAATAATAACTAGTCTTACTCAATTATAAAATAAGTAAAAATATCATTTAAAGCAAGCATATAAAAAGAACATATTTTAAGCTTAATTAAAACTCAAAATTTTAAAAAATCATATTTTATTTATTTATTGTAAAAAGAAGCTTCTAATGCTTTTCTAAAATATTAAATTATTCATTTCTCTATCTTTGATAATACTTTTTGGCAATAGAATTATAATTTAATAATTTTTAACACCATATAAAATTAATGAAATAGCTAAAAATCAACTTTTTAAAGCAAAAATAGTTAGAATGTAGAAATTAGGGTAGAAATAAAATCAAATCATTATAAAAATTGTAGAAGTAGTAGCTATGTACATTAAAATATACCTCTTTTTTCACATCATATTTAAGCCAACCTATTTTTCTAAGGACTATTAGAGAAATAAATGAAAACATATTATTTGAAATATAGAGGATAAAAAAACAGATAATAAAATGATAATTCATTTTTTTGCAATAGTTTTTAAGCTTCTAGTTCTCTTGCTTTGAAATCAAATTTATTGTGGTCTTTGAGATATGGTTATCTTTGAAAACAATAGTCTTTTAAAATACAAATGATCAATGTAGGATCAATTAATTAATTCTCTCTTTTTAATTTTTAATAAGTTATTCATTTTTCTTATCAATAAAAACTGAAATAAAAACTTTATTTATCATGTAATTTTTTTCTTCTATATATTATAAAGATTGATGTATTCAAAAATTATTTCAAAGAATACATCTTATTAAAGTATATAAAATAATAATATCTCTTTATATATATATATATATAATTTAGAAAAAGTTCTTATTTTTTTAATAAATATTTTTACAAAAATTTAAGTCTAGAATTTTAGTTAGAATAATATATAAAATGTTTTTGAATTAGTTTTTTTCGACCTACCAAAATTAGCTAATATTTTTATAGGTTCAAATAAAAGAAGGCGGTGTCATGTTGTAATATGGCTAATGGGTGAAAGAGAGAAGAAAATATTACATTATAAAAGATCTTATTCTAAAACATAATAGCAAATTATTTTAGAAACATAAATAATAGTCAAGGAGGTAGTAAAATTTATAAGTGCTCATGTTTCTTTTTTAAAAAAAGGGCTTCTACTTATTTTGTAAGGTAATAAACAAGACAAAAGGAGATAGATTAGCAAAATTAATATCATAGGCATCTTAAAGTAGAAGTAAATAACAGTTTCTAGCAAAATTTACTTAAAAAATTAGATCGTGATACTTGGAGAAGATTGATTACAAACATGGATTGAAATCAGACCTTAAGACATAATATTGTGCCTCTACAAAAAGATTAGGGGTTTTTTGATTGAAAAACAAGTTAAAGTAGCAGACTTGCTAGGATTTGGTTGAACATCAATTTTGAGTGATTTGGATTAACATTGCATTTTAAACAACTTTTCAAATTAAAAGGTTTTTTAAGTGGTTTAGATTTTTGAGAAATAAAAGAAAGTGTATATGTTTGAGAATTTTGTGAGCATTCTAGGATATTGACTAATGAAAATTTGTGGTCTTGTATATCTACTTATCTTAGTTTTTTTTTTTTTTTTTTGTAAATGCAATGTTAACTTAGTTTTAAAAAAATTTCCAATTTTAAGTACAAGTGAAGAATTCAATAAAAAATTATTCTTGTTAGATTTTTCAGAATTTATTTAGAATTTTATTAAGATTTGATTAGGATTTATTTAGAATTTTTAGGATTTTTAAGGAGTTTTTCTAGGTAAGGAAGTTACAAAAAATGGAAGTATTTAGTAATGAGTTAGACTAAAAAGTTATTTTAATTGTTTTGAAACTTATGACTAATATCAATTAAAATTGATTGCAATTAGTATAGTCACCCTTCCCAAGTACTTGCCTTACATTGGACTTAAACTAACTCGTAATGATATTTAATTTATGCAACAATATTATCTTCTTTTTATCTTTTCATAAAATTTTTTGAGTTAAAAGGAAAGTCAAATTAGAAAGATTGTAACTTTAAACTCTAACATAAGATACAATAATTAATCTTCTAATAGTTGTCATTAGTCTACATGATTTTCAATAATATGAAAGTTTAAAATCTAATAAACAATCCACTTTAGTTACATATTTAACTCCTCCTTAACTAAAGCAATCTTAATTTTCTGCAATATACCAATTAGGTCTAATATAATGGAATTCAAAGTGTGATTACTTGATAATGCTGCCAAAACTTGTTAACTCCAATTTGGAACCTTAACAATTGCACAATGCCAATTAGTTTACCACTTTTTTCCAATTTGGTAGTATAGTTTCTTCCAATTATTGCTATTAATTATACTCTGTGGGACAATTTACTTCTTTTTTGATGTGATATCACAAATTCACTCAAAGCACTAAAAAACAATTAATTTAGAAAAAGATGTTTTATTACCCAAACATCCAATTATTTTTGGCATTTTTAAATTCAATTTTATGTAAAATATTTATTAAGCGTATGTAGAGTGCCAAGTTAAATAAAATATTTAGAATAGCATATAAAAAATTCATGCAAAATAATAGAAGAAAAATAATAATAATAATAATTCAAAATTCAAGATATTATTGTTAATTTTTTATTTATGAAAAAACTATAGAACTTATAAAATTAATATTAAAATACAAAAAAATATAATTAGATAAAACTTTAGGATTATACTTGATAGATTTATAAAACATACATTCTTTTATTTATAATATTTGAACAATAAGCGGATTTATTTTATATTAATTTATATTAATTAATTTTAATATACATCAATACAATAGAATGTTAAAATATAGGCAACTTATGTTTTTTTTTTAAAAAAAATTATTAATCTAAAGCAACAAAGTAGCTATTTATTTATTGTTTTTTTTTATGTTAAACTTATAAGATAGCAAATTGGTCAATAGAACTATTTCGGTTAATAATTTACTTTACTAAAAAAAAAAAAAATAAATAAATAAGAAATTATTGTTAGTTGATCTGAAGTCCAAAATTTGATACTTTGGATCTAAATAAGTACAAATTTTTTATAGGTTAGAAGATTCTTTTTAAACTCAACTTTGGGTTAAAGAAAATCAATTGATTATTTTAAATCTTTATTAGATACTAGCTTCTCTTGTCAAATATTGATTTAAAAGTATCAATCTAAAAATAATTCTCCTTGTGACAAAGTTAGCAAGTGATAGTTAAAATTTACTTTAATAAAAATTTCCTACCAACCACTAATTTGAATTGGACTACATACAATTCAACTTCAATACAGATTGTAAAACTTAAACTTAGATTTAAAAAAATAAAAAAATAGAAGTTACAAAGTAGAAATTTTGAAAGTATTTTATATTTATGTTAAATTCAAAAATAAATAAATAAAAATTCTACAATAACAACAATAATAATTTAGCCTTGTACTTAATACATGGTACTATTTTCTCTTTTTGTAACCATTGGTCTTTTTGGGTTGTGCATACTACTTGAATTTAATTACTGTAAACTAATTGTCTTTTTAATAATGACCAAAAAGCTTTCAAACTAATCTGATCTAATCTAAACTTCAAGACTTTTGGTTCATATTTGGTTCAAGTATCTTGGGCATATCCTCCATCATTTAAACTCTGGTGGTCTAATTCTTATGTAAGTCAAGTATGTTTGATCCACCTTCTACTATCTACATTATATTGGTCTAGATGTTTTTGTTGTGTTGATTCTTTTAAATTGCACTTAGTTAATCAAGCCGGTTAGTACTTGTCAAAAAGTTTAGAAAAAATAAAGTACCATGTATTAAGTTTAAATACCATGTATCAATTAAATTTTTTGACTAAAAGAGAAAATAAAAATTTAATTTTATACCAGGTAAAAAATAGTACCATATAAAAATAAAAAATTACAGAAAGAAAAAAAAAGTATCATGTATCAAGCACAAATTTATTAAAATATACACAGAGAGAAACATAGATATATAGATAGATAGATAGAGAGAGAGAGAGAGAGAGAGAGAGATGGATGCGTAGGTGAATAGAAGCGCCATGTTGAGATATTATCATATTGTTTTTCTGGTTTTTCTGGTTTTTTGTTTTTTGGTTGCATTCTAGGCTAGTCAGGGCTCAAGAGGCCTTGTCTGATCTCCAGCTGAGGTGGCGATGGACTTATGGGCGCCGCTGCGCCGCTGCAGCAGCCATCGCACAGCGATCCCCTCTCTCTCTCCGCCACCGCGCCACCGCCCCTGGCAGAGCTGCTTGCGCCGGTTGCTCCCACGCCAATCCTGCCCCCCTGTCAACGTACTGCGATCACAGAGAAAACACCGCACCGCAACTGCACCCACAACCTCCCCTCCCCTCCCCCTTTGTCTACTCAGTCCTGCCGTTGATGTGCTGTGCTGGACCCAGTCGGCGAACTGTCTCAGTCCTGCACGTGCTTCGTCGATGACTTCAGTCTATCATGCCACGGCCGCTGGTGCGTCCCCGTCCGTCAGAGTAGATGGTGCTCGTCAGCGCCGCGCAGAACTGCATGATCGAAGCCTGTGGAATTTGCTGGAATGTTGGCCCATCGACGTACCCATCACCGGTTCCGATGTAAGAGAGATGGGGTTGACGCGACCTAATGACTCTGACGATCGCTATGGTTGCAATCACGGCACTCTCTCCCATGCGCGAAAGCAACTAGACAAGTTTTGGAACCTCTGAGGCGCGTACCCAGCTGACGAGTCGATGCTAATTTCATGTTGAAGCCTTCGTCGTCGTCGTCCCCGTCGTTGTCGCTAGACACTGGTGTCTGGTGCGGTGGAAGACTACCAAAAGTGCTGCAGTGAGCCCTCGGCATTCTTTTACATATATATTGTCAACTGCGGAATAGTTTTAAATAGTTCTCTTCCGGAGGATGATATTGAGGTTCACAGGCTCAATCCGTCTGACATACACTGTTCAGTCTGACTGTGAAGTGGTGCTGCAGGAGATATTGTGGAACAATGATTTGTGATCCTCTGTGCAGTCCTTGAAGCAGCAACAGCTTACTCAGAGAAGGAGGGACACACCTGCTATCTGCTAGCTTATAAGACACCCACGGAATTTTACAAGGTTTTGCGAAGTCAGTGTGCAGAACGAATCCATACAACGACGCAGATGGCTTTTCTTCAGCCAAGATTCTGCAACGGGCTGGTACTGCAAGAGTTTGCACATTTCCCTCAGTCCAGATTGCGTCATTCCCGACACTGTACTGAGAGCAATGTTCCAAGTACCACTTGATTCGAGAAAGGAAATATCTAAGATCCTTTAACCAAGTGAAATGTGATTTTCAGGTTTCACACAGGGATGTGCCGAAAAGCATTTGACCGTTTCCATTCCCAGATACTTTCGTAATTTCGCTTTGTTGATGTTCGTGTTTACAGTCCTTTCAATTTTCGATCACTGACTTGTGCCCTCATCAGATTAAATGGACAGCGAAGCTTCCAATCAGGACAATAAGATCCCCAGTATCCCATAAAAACACATTGATCCACAATTCAGCACGTAGCCAGATCATACTTGGACTGAGAAATTGGAAACGAGTTAAAGTGGATATCAAAACTATCTGGTGTATTAGTAAATGTTGCAGTTAGGTGCTCTAGAGCTGTAGGGGGTTTTTCGCCACATTTAGTCGCCGCGTCTAAAGTCTCACTTCAGGGTGATTTTGGGGACAGACTGACATGGCCTGGGCAATTGCGACTCTGCAGTTAATCAGAAATCACAGACGGGTTTTGGTGACAAGGGAGAGAGGATGCAAACCGTTTTGAAGCTCCTCCTGCAGTAGCCCCAGGATGAGCCGATGGCGTTTCACGAGGCTAAGCTTCCGCCAGAACCTCCGTCAGAAAGCCCCTACAAAAGGAGAGTTGCCAGGCCCTTGGTAAGAGCAGAATCCGACTCGCCTCGAAGACCACGCAAATCACTCACATTGGGGACAGGCAGCCTTACAACTTATTCTCTGGAGTGCAAAACTTCTCAACTACAAGCTTCAGCATCTGTATGTATCGGCAAGTGCTGGTATCGAGCGCAATGCTTCCCAACCGCCTGAAACGAGTGCACAATCTCACGCAGCCTAGATGGAAGCTTCTCCTCTGCGCGTGTGAAGTCGAGGCCAAACACCTCAAAAAATGGGCGCAACATGTTCCTTGATAGAGTAAGGCAGAGTTGGTGATTTATTTGTGATGTCATTGAAGGGGAAGATATAAGGTGAACTAGAAAGGCGGAGGAATCAGAGTGGTTTATCTCACTCATTCGTCGCATTGGAGAAGGTCTCATCAGCAGCAGTTTCAGCACCAAAATTGAGACTCAAAGTATAGCGTAAGATTCCGAAGAAAGGCAGCCCTGCCAAAGAAAATTCGACTGACGAGAGGAAATTCAATCAATCGAAAACCAAATACTCTTTCAATTATGTATTCATGCCGAGAACTCAAACACCAGCCACCGCAGCCTCGATGTCATACAGTTGTCCAAAAAAGTTCAAAATGCACAGAACTGAACAACAAAAATAGCACTATCACACCATGCTCATTCGCATTCTGCGAGCTCGGACTAGTTCATTAGTCCAAGAAGAGCTGGTCACAATCGAACAAAATGAGGAGAGCAAACCTGAAAAATGTATTGGGGAGCTAAAAATGAACATACTTGCAATCGGTGAACGATATAATCGAAGTTGTGAGGCACGAATTCCGTGATGTGCACCTCGTAGTGAAACGACGGTCTATAGTTGGCATTGAGAAGTGTGAGGGTGGGGAAGGCAACTGATTGTACGTCGATCGTCACGGGGTGGTGAAATGCGACTTGTAACCGCTGAAGATGATAGGAATGAACTGATTGCTCGTATTCAAACACTCAATCTGTGCTGATGATGATGGCTCAGCATATGATTGTGAGAAATTGCCCAGTGAGCTGGATTAAACACGTTCATCGCTAGTATGAACTTGTGCTAAGTAAATACCTTTCGGTTCATTCCTGCACATGGTTGATTGAAATTCTTTGCATCCATTACCAGTGAAGATTATATTCATTACGGAATTAATGCACTTAAATAACCAGACCCATCACACAACTTATCAGCCTGATCGACGATCGACGTTGAATCCCATGTGCAGGCTACTGTTGGTGGGTGGTTCTCGGCAACGTTCACAGTGTATCATTGCTTACTATTTTCAACTTATGCGCATGGACGACCCATTAAGAAAGGTAGAAGAGTTCCCGTAACTCAATCAGCAAAACAAATTCGGTAAAACTAAAAAATAAAAACTTAATCACAGATCAACGTAGGCGGTCCATCTCGTTTAAATGAGTTCCATTAAAGTTCAAAACCAAAAATCCCATATCTAGAAACTAAAATACCCTCCTGCCTCACTTGCGTTGGCATCTTTTGTTGCTTGTCCTTCTTGTCCTTGTACCCATCATTTTGCGTCCTCTTTCCTGGTCCCGGGGTCCAACTCTTAGCCAGCGTCTACAAGAATTGACGTAGCATACCCAAAAATATAAAATATCCCCAAAGACTAGGATGAAAAACGATTAGATTAAATGATGGGTACAAGACTAAAGACAAGTTAGATGTAAGGGCAAACCAGGGGAAGACAAGCAAGCAACGAGTCGTATGCTCAAACTATCCGGGGGTTCGAGAACAACCAAAAGGAGTGGCAACAAAAGCCAAAGTAAATGTGTGCCTCCAAATTTGCTATTCTAGTAGCACGTTTTGATCTCTTCCTTTGAATCCATGTGACCCATCATATGAGATTGATCTTTCCTCATTTTGAAACCTTACGCAAAGAATATGTAACCAATAGAACAATCCTGCATTCAAGAAGAGCAGCAGACTTGCTAAGAATGTGGCCGTAACGAAGAAATCCGATTTTCCAGAATCTTCAAACAAGTAGCGGAACTCCAGATGTACTTTTCCACAGAGCCGAACAGGTGAATCGAGGAATGAATCGTAAGCTCCACATCCACGACCCCAGTTCTAAGGTGCCCCCCATCGCAGCCAAGTTCATACCCATACCAGTACTTGCACGTGTCTTCCATTTCAACACACACACACAGCCAAATGTTGGCAGATTATAAGGGGCACTGTATACCGCCTTACTGCAGCATCGCCTCTCAAGGACGCCAGTCATTGCTATAACTGAGATGGCCATGTAAGACCTTCGGTATGTGCACCTTCTTGTCCTGGTGCATGTCAGAAATCCTTCTAACCAGTGTGGCATCCTGATCGGTTTGAAAGTTGCGAAAAATGAAAAGAGATCATCTTTCCTGCAAGTATGCACGAGCTTGATCAAGCCCGCTTCAGCCGTTTTCTGAGAAGAGATGTCGAGCAGGTTATGGAAAGGATCGATACAAAAGTTACAAACACCCCAATGAAGAGAATAAGCTCTTCATACCAGGAGTCTTCTTTCTGGTATGATCGAATGCTAATACTGTTCCAGAAGCTTTCAGTGTACACTGGGTCAGCTGCTCCCATCTTATCACCAGCCTCTAAAGGAAGCAATTGCCACCAATAGTCGTGGAATTTTAGCCGAGGAGAATATGCAGGAACATACCTGATTTTACACAACGCCACGGGTTTAAGCTTACATCAGTAACAAAGATGTTCAACTGCGACGACAGTCCAATCATAGGCCCTGGAACTCCAAATGGATCTCCACATCGTGAGTAATGGTCGGCATAATTTGAGATGATAGATAGATAATTGCAATACATTTTGGCTCTCATAATAATAATATGATGTCTTAAATAGCAGTCTTTAATACCTGGTTGAAGACACGCGACACTGTCCTAACTGACTTTGTGTTGCTCCGACGCATACTTCGTCAGGGTTCTTGCAAACCAAAGTACATTTCTCGTGCAAATCCTCCCGGGGCAATGCTGTCCGGTCGGCTAAAAAATTCCACACAAATCGTGTCGTATCATCAATCACTTCTGGCATCGAGTTAGGAGATACGCTGGGATCTGCTTGAAACACTCCGACATAGTGATTGGCGACGTCATGGGATGCAGTCATCAAACTTTCTACTAAACTGCACCTCATGCCGGGGGAAGTCCCAAAGAAACAGTTCACCATTTCCTCCACCAGTGACATGTTCACCTGATTACAAGTGCAAATTGAAAGAATGCTGACAACATCATAATCTTTTTGGTGGGATCTCAGAACAAACACCAGAGCATAAATTAGGAGAATACAGTAAATAAACATGAAAGTAACACAATGAGGAAGTTCAGGAGCAGAAAAAGCGAGGTAGTACCTGAATAGATTCAAAGATTGGAGAATCAAATCTCAAGTTATTGTCACTTGCAAGCAGGACAAGCGATCGGGCCACCAAAGATGCCGCTACCACTAGTGATGGCAAGTTCACATTACTCGAGTTGTCATCCACGCTATTGTAATACTTATTTGTGAAAGCTGTGTCGAATTCTTCAATGACAACACCTACACACGACAATCCGTGTCACACAAATACATTCTGAACTGGTTGGAACCTACTTAAGAAGAATGGAGCATCATCGCCAGAAAAATGCAATTGATAGAAGCAGAGGGAAAATCTAACTCTTAATATCACAATTTGAAACTCACTAAGGCACTTAGAGTCCAAAGCATAAAAACACCAAGAAAGTTCATATACGGGGGAAAACACTGATTCCCTGCGAACACCGAAAGAAAAACAATTTCGAGGAGAAACTGTACATGCATATGCATACCAGCAACAGTAGGATCATTATGGACGAAAGTCATGAGACTCGAAGGAGGTATCCCTGGATTGTCTTCGTTAGCCAATTTCACCGTTGAATCCGTGGAGGATGCCGATAAATACAATGCATCAATAATCTGTTGCGTATCGACGGCTGCTGCTGTAGCCTGCTTATGGACGAAGAACGTGGCCTCTGATGCTTGGCCCACCGATCCAACTTCCAGGATTTGATGAATTGATGTTAGTCCATAATCCGCAAAGGCTCCCTTCTTAAGTTGAGCCAAAAACTGTCGACTTCCCAAATAGCCCCTCGCCTCTCCCGTAAATACAAGAAAGACGAGTCTCTTTAAAAAACTGTCAAAGTCAGGAACGTGCGATAGTGCATCAACCGCTGCAAGCAAGGCTATAACTCCTGGAAAAAGAACCAAAACACGAAGCTTCAATTTTCCCGATCAAATGCAGTACCAGTGACATCTGCAACCAATCAATGATTGTTGTTCTCTTCCCAAAACAAATAAAAATTAACATAAAAACAGAAGCAAGAAATTCGGGCCATGGAAAAGTATTGGTCTGGTAGTGAAGGATTCAAAAGATTATCAGTTTCGAAATAGGAAGCAAGACAGACCTGACATTGGTGAGTCAGCCCCAGGGGCAACATCACGGAAGAAAGTTGCTGAATCTACGGACGCCATCGCCAACACGACGGGCTTCACGGTGGGATGCGAAACATTGACAGGTGGGAAAGTCGACATGACGCTGTACCCTCCTAAAGGAAGACAGGAGAGCTCCCCCAAACATGATTCTGTTGTGGGTGTCCCAGTTTTAGTGGTCTGCATAACGTCGTTAAATTCTACCACATTTGCAGGCCTCTTCGACCCTTTCTCGACGTTCTGGGAGGCAAGTCTTCGTGCTAATTCTATGTTTTCCTGTAGCCAATCAATTAAACCGTCAACAAAGACGGTACCAACTCTCCATAATTCATAGAAAACACGCAAATATTCGAGTAAGCGTGTAGCCACACATGATAGGATGGCATAAGTTGCGGTTATACCCCCCTATTCTCTGTTTGATAAGGCAGCTTGCAAAATGTTATGACCCTAATAAATTGCTAGAAAAATATGACCCTTCTACCTTGCTTTCTTATCCAATTCACCTCGCTCATAAAACCCTAAAAGCCTCTCCTACCTCGGACTCTTGAACTGTACAGCCATTTTGCAATGACCAATCATTTCCTGTGATCAGCTTCACAAGTCTCGCCTCCCTATAGGTCATCTTATTATGATTTAGTTCCCAATTAACAATATCACAATCTTTCGACAGCGAAACCCCTAAATTACTCAACCACTTCATCTACAAACAAAAACGCTGAACGATGTCTACGCAATATTATCCTATCACCACAACTAATTGACACCAAATGAACAGGATAGAAAGCAAGAGAAAGCTTCAGGAAAGACATTATCAACACCCACCGGAGAAGAAAGAAAAAATACTGGAAAGTTGAGTCGACGGTGCATCATTCCTGATCCAAAGGGGTTCCAAACCCAGGATTGATTCTCATACGGCGCGAATTCAGCCTGCGGAAACCTCGCATCATCCGAAGCTCCGAACCCTGGAGCCTGACTTCCGTTCTCCACAAGCACCCCAACCACATTTTTATCATCCCCGAATCGATCAACAAACTCCTCGAACGACTCCGCAGGGACCAGTACAGTCGCGGGAGAATCCAAAGCGTCCCCCATCCTCAAAATTGGCGCACTCACGGCCCCGTGCCCGGGGTTAGCGCAACCAAGCTCCCCAGTCAGGTTGAGCCATCGGACACAGGGAAAGCCCGCAAGCGACGCATACATGCGCGATTCAAGCTCGGGGACGGATTTGATAGACGAGCCATGAGCTAGCCAGGGCAGCAGTAACAGAAGGAGGAGAAGCCCCCAAGCTCTAGCTATGGCGGCCATGGCCCTGAACCCTTCTGCAACGGAGGTGGCACTCAAAAAACTCCTCCAAAAACACTCCCCGCCTTCCCAATCCACATAACAATACGGTGTCCGGGGCTGGCTGAGGCTTCAAGCCCCAGCTCACTCTCAGTAGCTTTTGGGAGCCGGGCCTTTTTACCTTTTTCCTTTTTCCTCTCAGCTTATCTTTTACTTTCGGTCACGGACACGTGTAGGTGAGAATTGAATTAACGGATACGTGTAAGCGCAAGGTTCTGCCACTTATCGAACCAGTGGTCAAAAAATAATTTTTATGAAGAAATAATAAATTGATGAAACATGTTTGTAAGTGTTAGATTTGGGCTACGTGTAAAATGTTGACCATTTCTTTGATTTTTGATTGTACACTTGAAATTTTGTTATTGAATTTCCTCTAATATTGAATTATTTAGAAAAAGCAATCAAAACTACTTCTCTTGTTCTAGTTCTTGGCACTTTTATAGTCATTAATACCTCTTGTTTTGATTTCTTTTCTTTATATTTTTCTTTTTGAATAAGTTATGGATGCTTGCCACTTTGTGGATTTGGAGTTTACTTTTCGGATTTATTTTTCATAATGATAAAATTTTGGACCAACTTCTTGTGGCAAGATGACCACAATCTAAGGTCACATGTGCACATAAATTTTCATGCATATGTATATATATATATATATATTAGCACATTTTAAATGTGTGATTGGTATTGTATGAAATCAATTATGATTATTGTACAAAATCAATGTTCCATATGTTCCTTGTTCTCACAACACAAGCCATGCTCACAAAGTCACCATTTCTATGAAGTGGCATTGACAACAAATAGTTTTGGCTCTTCATTGGATTTTCAAACTCTCAACACCAAATTGTTGCAGGTTGTGGATGTTCACACTAAGCATGAAATTTTGAGGGAGACTTTGGAACACTACGAACATTGGGAACACATAGAACATGTATAAATTACGTTCTTGGATGATATGGAACTCAAGGAGCAATTGCTTGAAAAGCCCCATAGATACCTGTATGTATGTATTTATACTGAATAATTTGGACCTTCTATTTTGGAGAAACAATTCATCAAAAAAATAAAACATAAAGCTCTCATTTTAACAAAACCATTTTGAAGATTGTAACAAAATAAAATAAAAAAATAAAAATGAAAGTACAAGCCCAAATAAATTATTATAAAAAATCTAAAACCGATGTTTCAATTGCAACAAAAAATCCACAACCAATGATTTCAATAGCTAAATAATTTAAACAAGCGAAATGGGATTCCTGTAGAATGTGCACATACATACATACATACATACATACATACATACACATATTTAGGTATTTTAACGCGAGCGGAGGTTGGCGAGAGTGGTTTAAAATTTTTTGAGAGGGAATTCGGGAATTTTGGCGGGGTGAAGGTGGCCCAATGCTATATAAGTTAGAGAAATTCAAATCCAACTAATTTCGAATTTTGGAATGTTCCCCTCCCTCGACACCGCCAGCCTGAATAAAGTGACAAACAATCCTGAACACACAAATCCAGGCGAAAAAGTCGAATTAATTGCAAAGCTATGCGAACTTTCGACCATATTTTACAATTCCTCCGTCTCTCTCTGTCTCATCGTAGTTTGCACACAGGAAAGGAGTTCCATATTTGTGGACGAGTGTGTGTTGCCGTGAGCCTTGACGTGTTAGTGACATTGCAGAGTTGGAGGAGGTCTAGGGTTTGAAGTGAAGTGAAGTGAACAGGGTGAGAGCTTCGTTTGGAGCTTGGATGAGTTTGAGGTTTTTTGGGAGGTGCAATTTGGTTATGTGGTTATGTAAAGGCGACACACTAATTTGACTGTGTTCGTGTAGCAAGAGGTCAGTGTCTGTAGCTATGACTAAACCTGGCGCTTCTCCGTCTTCTTCCAGTTCGCTGGAAAATAATGTGAGTTCAACTGTGTGTGTGTGTGTGCGTTAAAACAATTTCTTTGTTTCTCTTTTCTTTTATTATTATGTGCATGAAGGCAATTTTGTCTTGAAGGTCAGTTCTAATCTATCTGAGAGCGTCGGAATCCTGCGAGTCGATCAAACCGAGCACCAACTTCTGTCGATGATTTCCTAGTACTTCACGTTTCTCCTTGAATTTTGCCATCGGAAATTTTCAGATTGTATGTGTAGAGTCTTGTGACATTCACGATTGTGTGCGAGTTGATGCGTGTCTGTTTGATTGTTTGTAGGTCACGACTTTAGAAGAGTGCATTTCAGAAACTTTGGATATGGATTCCATGGTTAATGCTTTGGATGCAAGCCTCTCTGGACCTGATGAGGTTACAGTTATTAGAAGTCTTCGAGAGACTGCAAAAATGGGAGTGAAGGAGATGAATGATGATGAAAATCATCAAAGCGAAGTTGGGATGCCATCGCAGGTATCAACGCCACGTGTATGATGTCATGATTCCGTAGTCGACATAATTCATGATTATGGTCTTTGCCATATTCAGTTGCTGTCTCATTCAAATGCCATTACTACCATCGCTACGTATTTCCTGGGGTTGGAGTCAGCTTATTATCAGAGTGATTACGCTTTATTTACTTATTTTGCACAATTGTAGAGTACTTGTACTAATTCTTTTGTAATCTGTTTTTTCGGACTTGCCTGATAGAAAACATTAACTTCTTTGCTGCTTTTAACTCCCCCCCAACCCTCTATTTTGATCTTAGAAAAGGGTATGTAACACTCTTATCAGACCTTTCTAACTAGAAAATTGTTACAGGAGGTCACGGTCTCTAAAGGACTGAATGAGTCAAGGACGGAGTTGCTACAGCGTGTGCAAGCCCTGAAGAAGGTAAAGGTTTGGCCTCAAAACTTGAAACGTGTTCTGTTGCTGCTTCTCCGATAGTTGCGGGGACCTGGTTTTTGAGCTGTAGGCAATGTCCTCTGCATGTTACTCGATCAGGACAGGCTAATAATGTTTTAATATTGTGGCGAACTTCGATGCTCATCACGTGGATGTTGGATCGATTACTCGGTAGGAATTGGAGAACTGGCGGAGCAAATTGGATACCCAAGTCAAGTCGTATAAGGAGGTAAATTTGCCTACCAGGATTGTTGTAATAATTGGGGGGAGTTTTGTCTGAAACTTTCATACAGGTGTAGACTTGAGAAATGTTGGCGGCATGCAACTATAAAAGCACGACTGTGGATGCACACATGATCTTACCTTGCTGATTGCACCCTTGAATGATATGTCTTATTGAACATCTAATCATACACGGCGTAGTCTGATATGATAGAATTTTCATCTTTTGCGCAGGAACTAGGAAATCTTCGGTGCTCTCTCAATACAGAGGTTGAACTACTTCGAGATGTAAGTCAATATCTCTTTGGCAGCATTTGATCTCAGCATAAGGGTGTAGCTTCTCATTGAAGTTGTTGCATCATTACTTAGACGGCTGCTCTTTGCTCTGATCTGGCAGTGACATTTTTTTGAATTCGACTCATTTAAAGGTCGACCAAAGAGCCTTGCTGTGTAGCCCACAAGCTTCTTAATAAAGAAGTCTTGTTGTAACACATTAGTAGCGAATATGCAAATTCCATGCCGGGCTGAAGGTTTTCTAGTGTTTTTTGTGTGGTACAGAATAGATGTTATCGTTTTTCTGACTTCCTATTTTATTTCTCCTTCAGGAATTTCAGGAATTAAGGAACACGTTGAAATTGCAGCGGGAACTTACATCCACCAAATTATCAAAGCTGGTGCGGAACATACCTCTTCAATTTTTTTTATATTGCAATTCTGCTGAGTCTGTCATTGTGTCACCTTTAGGTAGGAGTGCTACCAAGAAGACTTTTGTTTTGTTTTACATTATCTGCTCAAGATTATTTGTCAACACAATGCTGTTCATTGTTGCAATTGATATGGCACGTTGTGAACTAGAGACTGATCTCTATAGCCTCAAAGATACTTCTGACAGAAAATGTTATTCGGTTGCAGGATGAACCATTAGAGCTAGCGTTCGATCCCAAAGCGCCTCTCCCAGCTGCTAAATTGGCTGTTTAGTGTTCCTCTTTTGTTACTCATAACTATTATAATCCGGGATGGGCACCTATTCAGGCGATGGTTATCTCAACCATCAATCCGAGTCGCTCGATAATAGCCTGGCAAAGTTCATGTTCAAGACCTGAAACATTCATGTCTGCACTTAGCATGACCCTCAAATCGGGTGTTGAGGAGAATTGCCAGGAATTTAATTTTCTCACTTAACTATATTTCTCGAGTCCCAAACTGTTCGCTGCAAAACTCTTCTTGTATGGAAACATAGTACACAGTGAGTCATATTTAGACTTGACATTTCTAATATGAGCTAAAAGTAAATTCTTTCTCCGAAGACTCTTAACAGTTCGATTTTTGAAGTGATTTTTTACGCACAGTTTAATACGATAGCTTTTAATACAATTAAGGTTTATGGTACCACCATGTGAAAACGAACTCAAGAAAAGTAGCAACCTCTTCATCATAGGACCTGTTACGTCCTGACGCAGTCCAAACCTTGCACCTCTCACCATCTTCAGTGTGATGAGTTGCCATGCAACTTCACAACAAACACCAATCAAAAATTACACATACACTGCTTGCCCATGGAAATTCCACATCATCTCACACGCAGGCCACACCGACTACTTGAAACTTTCCTCCATGAAATCATCGACAAGTTAGTACGACCTCCCCCAAGATAACTGGTGTGAAGATACACAGAGCCTTACCGTATATGTGAATGACTGAGTCCTTCGTGTGTAACCAGCACAGCAACGGTTGGGATGTGCAGTGCACATGCTGCGGTTGCTTTCGTGGCTGATTCCTGAGAGAATAGCCTTTGATCACCAACGCAGTGATCGAGAAGTTAGTGAGACGTGAGCAGGCCAAGGAAAAACAAAAAGTTTAGGGGGGGTATCGGGAGAATCGAACTCCCGACCTCTTGCACCCTAAGCAAGAATCATACCACTAGACCAGATACCCGTGGCCGAAGTGCCGTCCCTTCGCTACTGACAGCTGGCGGTCAGTACCGATTAATTTGTAGAGAACTGCAATCCGTTCCCTGCCTTCCCTTCCTGAAGTTGGCTTGGCTTGAAGGTGCTGCCCTTCACTTCCATCAAACATGTCGTCCAATCCCTTCATTCTTTTGCTCCTTCCTAATCCGCAAATTCTTTGCTTCCACGCTATGTGTTTGTATTGTTGGGGTTCCATCACATGCCACCCCCCAAAAAGTCTAAGGGCCTCCTTTAATGCTCAATGGGTGGACAATGCTATTTTTTGACTTTGCTTGCATCTAATGATCCAAGGCAAAGTCCACCCAATTCCAAAATTTACTCTTCCATGTATAAGGGTGTGAAGCACTTTATGACTTGAGGCCTACATACACAATATTTATGAAGAACTTTTTTATCCTCTTCATTTATGTGATTTACAAATTATAATACATTTACATTGTCATATTATGTGGCATTTGGCTTGAGAATGTACTAGGCATCTAGTTATATAAGATAAAAGGAAAATTGTAATAACAAGTCCTAACAACTCTGATAGATTTTTAAACAAATTATAATTAAAGATTAGTAAGTATAATCAAATATCAATCAAATTCAATTAAAATTGCAAAAGAATTATATAAGAAATACAAAGTATTCCTAAAGACCCTTTAAAGAAATCATAAAGAAATAACATAGAAATTCAAAAATATACTAAAATAAAAATCTTAATAAAATATTAAAATAAAAATCTTAGTTAAATCCTAGTGAAATCCTAACCAAACCCTAAATAAATCCTAACCAAATCCTAACCAAACCATAACCAAATCCTTATCAAACCCTAATCAAATCCTAAATAAATCCTAACCAAATCCTAGTCAACTTCTAAGCAAATCTAAATCAAATTCTAATCAAATCCTAACCAAATCCTAATCAAATCCTAACCAAGTCCTAACCAAATCCTAATCAAATCCTAACCAAGTCCTAACCAAATCCTAAACAAATTGTAACCAAATCCTAAAAAAATCCTAATCATATCCTAATCAAATTCTAATAAAATCCTAATAAAATCCTAGCCAAATCCTAATCAAATCTTAACCAAATCCTAACCAAACTTGAAACAAATCTTAACCAAATTCTAATCAAACCCTAAACATATCCTAATCAAATCCTAAATAATCCAAGTAATTCTTACATTAGATTTAAACCTCAATAACTAATGAATGAACGATCGATTTTAACTCAATTTTTTCTCACCTCTTCATAATTAAGTTGACTATAAGTACAAATATTTTGAAGAAGATCGAACTCACCAAAAAGAACATCAATTCTAATATTTGCTTGGATGTTGGCACGCCTCCTTCTTCAATCTAAATGTTGAATTTTCAGTGTCAATATCTCGTTATTGAACTATTCGATTGATCTCAAATTTCTCACATACATATAAAAATAGGTCTACTACTCACATACATAATTTTGACTCCAATTCAATTGATAGATTGCAAAAAATTTTAGAAACCCTCATTAGACCTAAAATTCTACTTCTTGAGATCTTAATTCACTTAAATCTCAATAATCCTTGATCCAACTCTTTCATCAAGCTAAAACTCATAGGATATATTGAATATATATATATATATATATATATATATATATATATATATATATCCATAAATCTACAAAATTTTATTTGCAGATCTATTGTCAAACTTACAAAATTTTCCAAAAATTATCACCTACTTTATTTCACAAATCCAGAGTCTCCCAAAACAAATCCCAACTTTGCAAAGCTCTTGCAAAGTTAATATACCTTCAAATCATATCAAATCAATATTCAAAGAAAACCTATTCAAAAGTTAGCTCTGAGATCCTATCCTATGATTTCCAAAAGAATCCCAAAATTGTCGTCAGAGTTCGGTTTTGTGCCTTGGGATCTAATTTTGATCCTAGTTCATAACCAACCTTCTCTGAGTATTAATATCTAATTTTTTTAGATAATTTTTATTAAAAATACTCCTAATTTCTTTCAAAAGTTGCATATATTATTTAATTTCCTAATCTACCTTATTTTGCTCTATTTGTTGTCCTACAAAGTAAATAGAAGCCTATTTTACAAAAAAGTAGTGTTAGCACCTTTAATTTTTCTACCCCTTGACTATTATCTATTTTTCCAAGATAATTTGTTATAATATATTTGAAATAAGATCTTCAAAAATATGATATTTTTTTCATCTTTTTACATATGAGCCATTTCATATCACGATAATATTTTCCATTACATATTCCTTGAGCTTATAATTTTTAAGTATTATTTTTTAAAATCATTATGGATAAAGTTTTCAAAACTTCATCCAAATATAATTTTTGCAAAAACCATCTAATCTTTAAGTTTGATACAACTTTGGAAATGATACTTAATAATAAAAAACATCATCATAATGAGATTTTTTTTTTAAATTGAGAATGCAAAAAAAAATATTTGTGTAAGTCTAAAGATCAATTTAAAATATAAAGTTTGTACTTCAAGCAATAATAGGCCCTTTCAAATTTTATTCATTGAAGCACATTACTTTTGATTGATACAAATATCTTACAATTACCATTTGTAGTTATTTTCTATCACTTTGGAGTATATTATTCATTACTTATTGTCTGTATTATAAGTAATGGTATTTCTAAAAGACAATAGATTCATTAATGACTAAATTTGAGGACAAGAAGAGACGATGGATTAATAATGAAAATACAAGGAGATGTCATGTTACAAACATAGATATGTTCTTTTTGTAATTCTTTTTATGATTTTTAATATTATAATAGGATTTTTTTTATCCAATCTTATATTTTTATAATATTTAATATTTCTATAAATATAGAATATTATTTTTTTACATAATAAATCTAAAAAACATTATAATTTAAATATTAAATATAAATTTAAAAATTATTTACAAATATTTGTTATAGTAGAAGATACAACTACTATAATGCATGTATTGCACTCTCAAAATATTCAACATGTGATACATTATGTTGATATATAGATAGTAGATAGTAACATATACTTCATGAAATTAAATAAGTATAATTTTTAGTAACTTTTTTTCAAACTCAATTTGTAGTACTTGTTTGAATGATAATAGATGATTTATGATTTTTTATCTATTTATAATCTATAAAATTGGTGGCACATGTAATGAAAAAATTATGACATCTTTTTATGCACATTTGATAGACTAACCTAAAGCTAAATTCTAAAATCCTTGCTTAATAGTCTTATACATCATTACTTTTAAGAATGGAGCTTGTGGCTTGTCCTTTATCAACTTTTGAAAATACAAAAGGTGAGTTAAGAGCACTCTACCAATGCATTGATAGAATTTTGACTTACAATTGTTAAAGATATGAATATCAATGAACTAAAAAATTAATACACTCTTATATCACTCAAAAAGACTAAAAAATCACTCAAAGATAATATACTATTAAATTACAATGACTATTGCTAAAAACAAGAAGATTAGAACATCTTAAAACAAGACTAAAAACTAGAAAGGCATTGAAAAGAAAGAAAAAGGCTTCATTCTTATCTCCATATATTCTTTCTAATTATGAAATATGTGACAATATTCTATAGGACCTCCAAAATATGTTGAATTTGTAAGACATGTATTTTAACTTGCAAGGCAAATTATCTATATGTATGTCACAAAGTTAGCTTGTTTTGCAAGCTATTAACATGTAAAGTATATGATTAAGTTTTTGACCAAGTTTCTAATCTATTAATCAATTACAAATACATATAAAGTCAAAATTGTGTTTATAAAGCTTCTAAGAAGTTTTTCTAAAATATATTATGAAATTAATCTATATTTATATACTTTTACTTAATCATTTAAGTAACTATTAGTATAAATATATATGTCCATGACATTATCTTCCTTTCTAGAAATGAATTCCACAAAGTGAGATCATTATCTTTCATGGATATTATAATTCTTTATCTTGGTTTTGATGGATGTCATTAATAAAAAGCCTTAACTCTCTTTGCTACATTTATAAGATTCTTTATTATATTTATGAGATTCTTTATTAACTCCCATATGCATTCACTAATATCATATTTGTGCTAATAAAGAAGACATTTCAACTTATTTTAGCATTGCTTTGAATCTAAAACTTCTTTTACCTTGAATTTTTGATTATTATCCATTTTTATAGAAAAAGATGGCATTTTTCTTCTTTTCAAGATATTCATTGTCTTATATATCTCAA